CCGGCGCCATGCCAGAGGAAGCCGCCGCTCCGCAGGTAGTGGACCTCGTGGCGAAGAGCGACAGGAACCGCTCGTAGGGGTGCNTGCGGGGGACCGGCGGTTTCCGGGGAAAATGTCGACTCGGAAGACGCGGCAGCGGCGCCGCACGACGCAGAACGTCGGCCAGTCCGCCATCGTCCGCGCGCGCCACGACGCGTCGTAGGCGCGTAGGGGCACGTGCCAGTCGCTGCTGCAGACGTGGTCCGGCCGCGCCTTGCTGCCGCCGGACGGCCGGCGCGCCTTTGGCACGCAGCGCCGCATCGCGGAGCCGCCGGTTTTCGCGATGTGGATGAACTGCGGCTGGTTGAAGCGCTCGGCCTCCACGTCGGCGATGTTGAGCCAATAGGCTTCGCCGCCGTCGAAGGCGGAGCCGTCCGCGGGCCAGCACGCGCGCGGCCGCGCCGCGGGGTCGGGGTCCAACGGGCGGCCGGCGCGCGACGGCGCGTCGTCGACCTTCACGCAGCCCTCGGCGACGACGCAGGCCCGGCAGGCGTGGGCCGTCATATTGGCCGCGCAGCAGGCCTTGCAGGTGCACGAACCGGGCTCGCAGGCGGCGCGCTTCTCGGGGTGCTTGCGGTGCATGAGGACGCGCCGCGGCGCTCGCAGCGTCGACGCGATCGGCCGCGGCGCGCGCAGCGTCGGCGCGATCGGCGCGCGCCGCGGCGCATCGGCGCGCGCCGCGGCGACGAGCGCGCCGATGGCGAGCAGCATCGGCGCGCCTTAGCGCGGTGCGACGATCATGGAAGCACCATCGATCGATCGATCGGGCAGCCCTGTGCAACTTGAACTCAAGGAGCACACCAAAAGAGAACGCCCGCCTCGCGGTTTTAGGTCCGGAGGACGCGCCCCCCGCGGCGCTGGCGCACCATGGGCACGGGCGTCGCCGCGAGGTCGCCCTGCTGGACGAAGGCGTCGTGGGACATCTCCTCCTGGCAGAACTCGTTGGTGACGATCTTCGGGCAGACGCGGCGGAGCTTGCGGAGCCAGGTGCGGCGGATGAAGCCC